GGGAGTCGAGGAGCTGCAGGAAGGAGGGAGCTCTAGGCAGGGGTCGAGGGAGGATCTGCCTTGGGGATGGATGCTTCCAGGAGGCTGAATGCATCATGTAGCAGCATGAAGCAAAACCTCCCTATCTCTGTGATCCCTGCAGCTCCCCAGTTGCACGCTTCCCATCCCCAATTTCTGACCAGCAAATGCTTCCTTCTGATTCGGTCCTGCCCTTCCTCTGCTCACAGGAATGAGAAGGAGAAAGTCCTCATCGAGGGCTCCATTAACTCTGTGCGTGTCAGCATCGCAGTGAAGCAGGTGAGGTGGGGGTCATGGGTGGCGGGCTGGCAGCTCACACCTGGCATGGGGGAAGCCTCACTCCCCTTTCCTCTCCCCAGGCCGATGAGATCGAGAAGATCTTGTGCCACAAATTCATGCGCTTTATGATGAATGAGAAGGAGAAAGTCCTCATCGAGGGCTCCATTAACTCTGTGCGTGTCAGCATCGCAGTGAAGCAGGTGAGGTGGGGGTCATGGGTGGCGGGCTGGCAGCTCACACCTGGCATGGGGGAAGCCTCACTCCCCTTTCCTCTCCCCAGGCCGATGAGATCGAGAAGATCTTGTGCCACAAATTCATGCGCTTTATGATGATGAGGGCCGAGAACTTCTTTATCCTGCGCAGGAAGCCCGTGGAGGTGAGGTGACAGAGAGGGGGCAGAGCAGCGGGTCCCGGCTCCGCACCTGGCACCAGGGGGGTCTCCAATGCGGAACTGGGATGTGAGGTCACATGGTGGGTGGCCCTGGGTGCTCATGTGCAGGGTGCTCCTCTGTTCCCCAGGGTTATGACATTAGCTTCTTGATCACAAACTTCCACACGGAGCAGATGTACAAGCACAAGCTGGTGGACTTTGTTATCCACTTCATGGAGGAGATTGACAAGGAGATCAGCGAGATGAAGCTCTCTGTCAACGCCAGGGCCCGCATCGTGGCAGAGGAGTTCCTCAAGAATGTGAGGCTCTGAACTGGGAGGAGGCGGGTCCCTTATTTTGGGAGCGGGGTGGGGGCTCCAACCACCCATGACCCTCATGCCCAGCCTGAAGTGCTGGCTTTGAGACCCCTGGAGCACATACCGGG